TGTGAGCCACCCAGAGTCACCCACTGGGGGAGATGGGCGGCATACAAATTTAATAAATAAACAAACAAACAAACAAACCGATTATGTCTCCCATACCTGCTATTGCATGAATGGGCAAGCTCCCCAGAAGGCATTTTGTGAGAGTGCTACAACAGGCTGCAAAATTCCAAATGTCTTCACTAGCTTCAAAAAGTTAGGGATTCCTGCTAGTTGTTGCTAATGTGTTGCTAGCCTGTTTGAGTTTCCTATTACTGGAAAAAAAGAAAGCTCATAGAGATGGTCTAAGGATCTTGACATTGCAGTCATTAGTAGCTTTAAATATGTGCATAATTCCTTTGGCTACCAATCTGACCTTCATCTCTTAACAGTAGATAATCATCTACTCATACAATGGAGTGCAATTATGTCCATTATAACAGTGGAAATATATGCATTAAATTATCTTCAGTGTTCACTTTTTAAATTTTCTATTCATTTTAATTGATTGGGTTTGCATGTTCTCAGGGAAGGCACTCAGAACACAGTGACATAGTTCCATGTTTCTCTAGTTAATACAAAATCTAACTCATAATAGGGCAGTTTAAGCCTCAGATTTTGCTATCTAAACTTATCGGTGCAGTAAAGTTTTAATATTCTTCTAAGAGGAGAACACTGTAAGTTCTATATTTCTTTTGAAACTGAAACACATTTTACAGAGATGTTTGTGCCATCGTTTCCAGAAGGTGTAGATCCATACTCTGGAGAGCTACGTATGCCTTAATTATAGGATGCTACTCCTTGTCAACAATTGTAAGTATAATTACAATATCATAGATTTTCACTGACAAGGAGGCATGAATGATATTGGTCTTTTCAACCCCTGTTGGGCTTATATGTGTCTGCTGGAAATGCATCATATGTCTCTCTGGCAACCTAGTGTTTACTGTAGTTGTGTAAAAAGATGCCACTGTGAGCTTAAAGCATCTGCTTTGAGAAAGTGGGAAGTCCTAAAGCTGCAGACTAATTAGCCCCAAGTATAAAACAATAGTGGAGGTTATGGGTGATTTTCTACTGCAGACTTTAGTTGTGAAGATGGATCTTGGAAAGACTGAGGGAGAAAAAGATGCACATTTAGCCTACCAATGTTGTCATAGGGGATGTAAACGGAGTTGAAGTCCGTCCAGATCCTGGTGTAGATGAAGACACAAAGGGGCATCATTCCCATGGCCAGCAGAGTTGAGCATGTTGTCATACTGACGCTGCAAAAGAATCAGTTGTTGTTACTGTTGCTATCATATTAACTTCAAACATTTTATGGTTTCTCACAAAATTGTGCTTGTTTCCATATTCTAGATATATCTGTAAGGTTGATGGTTGTCTTTTCAACAATAATAGTATAACGCCTATAGGTAGCAGTTTTGTAAAGTAATAGGCACATCATAAGGATCTCCCCGAGTGATTTCTCTCGTGATGTTCAGTTGGCCCCAACCTACTGGCCGTTAGAAAGACTTTGAAAACGTGGCTGTTCCCCTGGGTGTGGGGGCCAGGATGAGGGAGCATATCAGGAGAGGGTATGAATGTGAATCAGGTAGTCTATTATTGTTTATTGCTGACTGTTGTTTCTGATCTTTTCTGTTGTAAACTACCCAGAGTCACATTGTTCAAATTGGATGGCTATATAAATCCTATAAATGAATAAATAAGAAATCTTTATCATGCATTCACTGACTTTTCCAGAGAATTGTAGGAAGAGGCATCCTGATGTCAGCTAACATCTAATGTTCCAGCATTTCCCCACTTTTGAGGCATAACACATGTACACACACAGTGCACAGACACAATATCTGATAATGAGGAAAGGCAAAAGAGCTGTCCATTGTCACAACATATTTTAAGTGGTAGAGCTAGGAACTGACAATCTAGAAGGATTCTTAAATATAGGAACATTGAAATGCAGACTCCAAGGATGGTGAAAATGGAAATAATTTCCAAAATGAGAAATCATGAGTGGAAGCTTAAAGATTACCCATTTAATGGAAAACAATGGAAATTATATCCAAATAAACATATCAAAGATAGTATTGTCTGGTTGAATTTATATATGAATAAGCCTTGCTGAACCATGCTTTCTTATTTTCCAAGTAAATATAAAAATTGCATTAATAAAGTTTATTTTCCTCATTGTAATGTAATGCCCCAGTAATTAAGTGTTTACAAAATATTAATGGAAGAAGAGGGACTAAAAATAAATAGTTTCTATTATTCATTGGTTTGGCCCATTAGGGATCACAAACAATAATTAATTACAACTGGGAGGGAATGCAAGCAAAATTTAGACAGAAAATCTGTATCTGGTCTAATTCTGGAACAGTTAAGCTAGTCATTTGTTATTATGGGAAATATTAATTATTTACTGTACGTAACCTGGGCTCAGTCTTTTAAACAAACTTACTTGGAAATAAGTCCCACTGAGTACAATAGGCTTTATAGCTAAATAAACATGGACAGGATTTCACTGTAAGGCAGGAGCAATCCTATTTGTGTGGTGTAAATCTAATTTCACTTAGTAGGATTGTGCATGAAAACTTTATTTTGCTTTAAGAGTAGCTAGACAAAATCCCTATTGCTTTTAACAAAAACACTGTGGAATATGATTAATGAGTAAGCATTGTTAGCATTTATGAATGATAACCCTTTAAAAATCAATTACTTTGTTTGGATTTTAAAACAATAGCTGTTCTCAATTCACTTGGAATGTAATATTGTTATTAATAGCAACATGTGTACTGCAAAAATTCCTATGATTTAGTGCAGAGAATACAACTGATGTGTGTGGGCTAGAATACCATGTTCATCAGTCGGTTCTTGCAGGCATATTCCATATGCCATTCCATATGCGTCCGCATATAGAAGCTCACACCCGTGCGATCCAATAAATATTGCAGGTGACCTGTGAATACTTGAATGGAATGAATAGATGTAAAGATATATTTCTGAACTGGCTCTTCTGAGCCCAGCTTTCAAGAGCGATTTAATAGTTTGGCACTGGCAAGTTAAAAGAACAACTCCAAAATCAGAAATTATACCCTGCCAAGTTTTCCTTGTGCTAGAACAGACTTTAGATTGGTTTAAGATTCTGAATATAACTGCAATTGTGCTGGTTCAGATCACACATATGGTGTAGTGGCAAGCAGGGTATGACTCTGGACTGCATTCCTTTTATTGGAGTAATAGGAGTAATATCGTTACCCTTCATGTTCTAGCTATCTATCTTATTGACTAAAAAAAAAAAAGTAGAAGCAAAAAAGCAACAACCCTAGAATGAGTCATGCACCAGGAAAGTACCTGCCAACTGTTCAAAACCATTGATCAAAATACGTGAAAAATAGAACTGAGGCTCTTGAAATATATAAATGTGCTTCTAATCTTTTCACTCTCTTGCTCTTCTTTCTTCTCTTTGTTCCAGTGGTGGGTTTTTTTTCTTTTTTCCAGATTAAATGGTGCCTAGCAGTAGTGGACAAACCTTCAAAGAATCCCCAAAAGAGTCCCTTCTTCCCTGGAAGAATTTTGGAATTCTTTTACCCTTCTATTCCCATCCAACGTTTTTTATCATCTCTGCTCCTATGGCTGGTGGTGTCAGTAATCAGCCAAGTCTGTCCTGAAAAGTTCTCTTTTACTCTTCCTACTTTGCTTGACTTACACTGATTTCCCTGCTTTAATTAATCATGTAATTCATTGTGCTATATTTTATATTGAAGACTGAGGTATCCATTTTCTCCAGTTGGAATTCACTGTGTTTCTGCTATTCCCAATGGAAGCACTTGAACACTTTAATTTGGTGTTCTTTTTATATATATATATCAATATAACTATTTATTTTGAAGAGACTGATGGTGGCAGATAAATTCACCAAGATGAACTTCTGCCAAGGTTTAAAGATCCTGTAATGGGTGTGTTTCTGCAAATGGACTTGAGCTCAAGCCATGATGTTGAAGGTGTTTTCTAATAAGGTGGAGGCTGCAGAGCAATGTTTTAAGTACAACGCTCTATAGAGAAATACAGTGTGTTATGATTATGAAATTATAAGTTCTATCAATTTCATTGGGCTCTCTCACTAATAAATATGCACAAGGTAGCAGTTTAAAAGTTCAATTTTTAAAAATATGGCACAAATTTAAACCTTGAGAAAAGCAAATAACTCTTACCTTAGATCCATGTCACCATCCACCCAGTAAGCCAAAATGTTAGAAAATGCTCCACCAGGACAACATCCTATGATGATTACTGTAACAGCTTGAATTGGAAGCACATCAAAAGCATATGCCAGTGTGAAACCCAAGAGAGGCATGATTCCAAACTGGCAAAGGACACCCACAATGATACCCCATGGTCTTTTTATGTGTCCTAAAAATTTCTTCAGTTCCACATTGCAGCCCATGGAGAACATCACTAGTGCCAGCATAACAGACAGGACGGTACTTAAGACTACACTCAAAACTTGGTTGAAATCATCTGTGGGCTGTATGCAGGATGTGCCTTTGCAGATAGTGGCATTTTCAGAACAGTGCGAAAAATTCAAAGTTGATTGTGTTGTCAGAAACGGAGAGGTTAAAATATCAGATTCCCTTAAATGGTCCTCCTGCATTTTGAAGGGGAAGAAACACTTGTCCAAGCTCTTATGCGCTATACTGAAGCTAGTCTTCTTCAGAATCTCATTATAAATGACTAGGGGCAATAAAGAAGATGATAATGTTGGAACTTGGCAGCTGCTAAGGTTTAGAGTTAAATTGCTGAGTCATAATATTCCCCTAGTACAAATACATACATTCACTGTGAATCAATCATTTATCCCCAGAAAAGGTGAGGTTTCACACCAAATTAATATTTAAACATAATGAGTGACAAGCAAAAAATAGCTAATATATTACATGAGGATGTGAGCTTCTCTCTTTAATATTTATCTATTTACCACCTTTTAATTTTCATCCAACACTACAGTTCTGTGAAAAAGTATTTGCCCCCTTTTGGATTTTCTGAATTTTTCCATATCTTTGCCACTGAGTGGCACATGTGGGCCCTTCTGACATATAAAGGAAAGCAGAGTGAAAAAAACAAACTCAAAGTTTGGTGCTAGTTTCATTTACTTCATAGACCAAGTCATACAACATTCTGATGTGTTGTCAGCTTAAAAATACATTGGCAGATGGCTGTGGTCTCATATTAAAATGGTGTGCTGAAACCCATATTATAGTTCCCCCTTTTTAAAAATGAAACAAGGGTGAGTCTTTGAACATAGAATTTATTACTGCAGTTTTCTTATCTAGAACGATCTGGTTTTCTTGTGCTGCATGAAGGAAAAGATAATCCACTGAAATTAGCGCTAATCTTCTTGGCTACCTGATATCTTCTTAGTTCAGAGAAAACCCACTGTATGCACTGCATTTTTAAAAAACAACATGAAACACAGTGGCACAAGTGTTGGCATTCTAGGGATCCAGCAAATGCCATCAGTTGCCTTACTGCTGATAGTGCTCTGCTGGATGGCAATGAGGATTATGATGTTAGCCAGGCCTGCGATGTCTTATTGTCACTGTGGGATTCTATCCGTTCCCAGTAGATGTCTATTGGAGGTGGGGGCAGTAGTTGGATGGCAGTGACCTTCAATTCTTCTTACTCCATTGTCTGCCCACAACATATCAGCATTACCCTTCAAATTACATCAGCTTGTGGGCATCACCATACCCATGTTGGGGATGGGACTGGCATAATTCAGGTGGTGATGCTGCTCAGGTTAGATGTGCCAGAGATTCCTTTTAACATCTCTGTGTGAGAAACAAGCAAAAAGACCACCCAGCAACGAGTACTTGGTAGAAATTTGCACTTGCTCATCACTCCTGATATCTGGATCTGAGATTGCGGGGAATGGCATTTATAAAACAACTGTCCAAACTGTCTCTCTTGGCACAGAATTTGTAGATCTAAAATGTGAGTCAACTTCTGGGGTGCATAAGTAATGTGAACGTGTGCCACGGACCTTCCCCCACGGTTGCTGGGATGAAATTTTAAAAAAATGGCTTGGTCCAAAATATTTGGAATATAAAATCTGTTTCCATTCTAAGGTGAAGCATGCTGGTCCCTTGGCAGATGGAAAGCAGAAGAGCAATAAAAAAGGTGGTCTTTATGCTAACAAAGCTGGAGATAATTTTAGATTCTGTATTGATGGGACCCAAACTGCATGTTTCAGACCACGCTCACATTCCATCAAAGACTGTAATGAAGGGTAGACATTACATGAACACCAATCACATTCTTCCACCTTTTGAATAGTTCTTTTCACTCTTACTTAATAAAGAATTTTTGAAAACTCAGAAGTTTAAGCACCAGTTTAAGCACCAGTTGCCGTAATACAGGTATTCTCTTAACCTTCAATATACTAGTTTAGAGTGTTTCCTTCAATAATCAAAAGCGTCTACATATATTTGTTAAACAAGCTTTTTAAATTTAAGACATAGGAAAATGGCATTTTACTATATATTGATTGCTAGTAATATGCCATGTCCTATGTCTTAAATTTGAAAAATGTCACTATGCTGGAGGAAAAGAAGCCTTGAATGCTTCCCATTAAATGACAGATTAAACATTCAGTAATAATCTATTCTAACTAGTATCAAAATAAAAAAAAATCACCAGGTCATGTTATTGGAACCATGGTTTTATAAAATAAACTGCTTTAAAAATGGAAAATGGGTGCTGAGACTCGTCTTTTTAATCAGGTGGGGGACATAAATAGATTACTTTTATAACAATGAGTGAAATGTGAAGGTAGCAGAGCGAGTCTCTGCAGAATTGAGAGAGTGAATATAACACAAGATAGCAAGTGGAAGAGTGCCAGACAAAATAATCCCTGTGTAAACTATTCTGACATTAACGCTGCTTGTGAATTAAGTAGTGAAGTGTTATATAATGAATTGAAATAGTGATTTCCCAGAACATTAGTAGAATAAACCTATTTTTTAGTCAAATGATTCCCTTACTGAATTTTTTTTTAATATACTATATATTTTAAACTCTGTAATGCATTAGCTGCATCTCTTAGAAGACTCTGCCCTTGAAGGGAAAGACCCAACATTTCATCTTGAGAAGCACAATGAAGTAATGCATACCTGGGTGAATGTAGATGATTTCCCCAGTAAGATTCACAACTGACATTTTGCTCAGCATTATGCCTCAAACCTATCTTGAATGACCTATTATAATATTTTATCAATAGCAAAATGGAGCAAAACTATTTGATTCCAATGGCACAATGTTTTGACATTTCCAACCATCACTCCTTTCTATTAGTAAAATGGGGTGGTGGTGGGGAGAAGAAATGGTCTCAGGCCTGTGGACAAAATTAGGCCACTGAGAAGCAAAACACTTATGGGAATCTCATAAACTGGGCTGGGCCACAGAGAAGTAACGTTTATGAGAATCTGATGTATTTTACTCGGATTATCTTTATGTTTTTAAAAATAAATTCACAATATATTAATTATTTTATAGTGTTTTAAGTTTCAGGATTGAAAGTTCGATGTATTTCCATTAAGGAAGACATACATCTCTTCTGCAGAATGTATTCTTTGCCTCTACATTAAAATGGTTTATCTTAATATATTTGCATATGGATTTGTGCGGTCATAGAAAGTTAGTTCCTGCAATATTGTCTAACTTGTCTTTTCATTTCTGGCTTCCTTCCATAGCCACTAGCTTTTTTGCTCATGTATTTTGTTAATGAGTTGTTAATATAAACAGAAAGATTTCTAAGGTGTCAGAAAAAGCACTGAAAAATACCATAGGTGAAGCCAAGCAGTGCAGAAACAATTCGAACTGAATCCAATGCCAAATCAAAGTATCTTCTGCTTCAGCTAGCTAGAAACAGAAAGAGGCCTGCAGTACGTACATAAATAGAATAGGACAATTGGCATCTCCAAAAAAGACATTAGTTGCTCCATTCTTCCCCCCAAAACAACCATAAATTGACTTTCAATTTGTCTTTGAACTTTGTTTTTGTCTTACTCTTGCCTTTATAGATCTGATCAATCATCTTGGTAGATCAAGGGACAGTTTCTCAGAGGGCTTTTAAAGATTTACTATATCTGTAGCCAGAACTACTGCTCTTTCTTAAGGAAAGAGAAAAAGAGTCTTAATAAAAGTAGCACAACTGAACTCTACAATTCCCTCTGCTCTGCCCCTACAATCTATATATTTGCCTGGTCATGAGAGGTAGGAAACTTTTGCATGAAGATATTATGAATGGAGGCTTATCAACATTCCAGAACCCCAGTTGTACAATGTGTATTCTAGAATGTGTGGAATTTTTTCTATACATCTGAGGGCTTCCTTAACTCATATGACTATATGAGCTCGTGAATGGAGACCTTGGGAAAAGCCGAACAATGCTACTCAAACAATCCACACCAAGGAGAAGGGGAGTCAGTGATACAAGCAGCATCATGGCATCACAATGCAAGCCCTTCCCCTTTTTTATGTACATCAAGAGAGCCTGAAGTCACCACTAGATATACAGTATGAACTTTCTGCTTTTTCTGCATGAGGGGAGGTAATGATGACCTGTTATGAGGCAAATACTAGCTCAATGCAACTTTTTAAAATAAACTCAAACCTTGTTGACCAAAAAGCTATAAGACACATAGCTCTATATTACTGAAAGCAAAGTAACATCATAATGATAGACTTTAATTATTTCAAATTATTTTATTGGATCAGAATACTTTAATAAAAACAAGCATGTTCCTTTTCTCTAGCAAGTAATGTCCTTGGACTTTGGCATCTAAAAGACTATGGAACGTATCCCAGCCTTGGCTTGAAAGTTATAGTTTTACTTTATAAGATTCATCAGGAGCTGCTGAATCAACTTGCAAAATTTTTCATATCAGGCCAGTAAAATAAATGCACTCTTGCTTTCTTTATTTTCAGAACGGCATTTGAGTATCTTGATTTTTGCAGACAATGTTGAGCAAAATATTGAGTCCATTGGAATGTATAGAAATATATGACTATATTCTTTTCTAAATATATGACTATTGTTCTAATGTAAGTTTCAGTGTATACCCTTCTCAGTCCAAAGGCCAAGCCCCATTTAAGGAGTGGTAAATAAAACTTGCTAACTGGTACATTCCTTTATGAATGGCAAGAATGGACTGATTCATATGCTTCTTACTTCACACTTTGCCACACAAGTTCTAAAAAAACTTGCGCGTGTGACCTGACGTGGAATATTTCTGGGCTAGAGGTTCTGTCAGTGACATCAACACTTGCCAGATATGGGAGTTTCCAGGTGTACTCCAGTGTTAGACACAGAGTCACATATAGGGCTGAGATACTGCTGGGATTCTGATTGTATAATTCCCCCACTTAAATTAACAGAGGCAATGCTGAATTAGCAGTTTGGGTTTAGGTTGCTTGAAAGGATGTCTTAAGCTATATGGCTGAACGTCAGAGAGAAACTTATTTGTCTGCCTGGCATAAGTGTTGGTCTAAAGGGCACAACGGTTAAGGCTTTCTTGATGGCATCTCTCTATTTGTAGAACTTTGTTCCAACTGATGCTTACTAGGCTCCTTCATTAGATGTAGCACTACTGTTACTGGACTGCAAAAATGTGAT